CAGTAGAAACCAAGCAAATTGTTTCTAAGTAAATTTTTTTAAAACTTTAAAATAAAATATCTTAACAACCATCAAACTAAACTTGATAAGATTTTTTATATTTTAATTTTATATAGTTATAAAATTAAAATAAAAAAAATTTTATCAAGTTTGGTTTAATAGTTGAGATATTTTGATTTAAAATTTCACTAAAAACAATTTGCTTGGTTTCTACTGGGAGCCCCTATATATATATTTAAATTCAGGTTTAGATTACTTAAATATCACACCTTATTGATATATTATATATATATATATAGTCAGACCTCTCTAAGTGCACCCTCTATACTGTAAGTGCACACCCTCTCTAAATGCATGGCCCAAATATATACTTGACCTCCATAAATACACCTTTTCTTATTAATCTCTATATGCACGTTATTAAAGTGTGGTCCCAAGAGCGTGCACTTAGAGAGGTCTGACTGTATATATTTATTTAATATCATCTATGTGATATTTAAGCAAACCTAAACCTAGTGTTCAAATTAAAGTCCCCCTGTATGATGTATTAGAAGTGATGAAATATAGTCTATAATAAAAACATGTATAATGTCATGAATGATATATATACTTATAGATTATGGATTTGTAAATTTTATCTTGGTAGATTTTAAGTCGTTATACTCATTCGATTAGTACAAGTGACATAAGATTATTCACATCATAGGTATAACGAGAGTTCATTTTTTCACATGACTCGTTACTTATTTTGTAGAATATTCAAGAGGATATCCATTATTTTTGTATCAATTTCTAAGCTTGAATTACTAGTTTAATATAGCCACTTTGTGAAGTAAATGTCTAAAGATTTTCCTTTAAGACATTTACTAACCAAATCATTAGACTTGTCTATAGATTGACACCAAGTTTTCGAAAATAATTCATTAAACTATTCAAGTTTTTTAAGATCTGAATTTTGACTTAAGTAGAAGTTATTCAGTATTCATTTACAATATCGATAATTAGATTCAGAAACGAAGTTTTCTTAAATTACCATTGTATAGAATTGAACTTAAATCTAGATAACCGTAAAATTGCGTCAAGCGAGCTACACTATTAAGAATGACTTATCATTGATTGGTATCGAGACAAAATATGCATGTATATCTTTTCTCCTGGTTGAACGAAGATGAATATTCTCATCATCATTCAAAAATGCATATATATAAAATTACAATAATTCTTTAAGCGCTTACTACACTTTCCATATTGAACTACAGCGATTAGGCGAAACCTTTTTGCGTGATGACGAAAAATGAAATTTAAAACCGGCGAAAGGTAAAACCTGGTAAAATTAAAAGCTTTCCTAACCTAAAATTGAAAAAGTTGAGAAGTGAACCCAAGCTAGAAAAACGGAATAGGCTAAGTAGTAACTATTTCACAAGATAACTTATATGAAAAGCAGCTGTTTTTTTTTTTTTTATACTTTGTAGGAAAATTTTAATATCAAATTAAATATTTTGAAGAATCCCTCCCTGAGAAATTAACGCTTTTTTTATTAAGATATATATTGTTATTTTTATTTTCATTTTAAGATCTAAAAAAAAAAATTTGAATATTTGCTAGTTCGTAGTTTTGAATGCAGTAGCACATACCCTAAAAGATTTACTTTTAGTATGGAAGTGCCTATTATCTATTAGGGCCGCCTCATAAAGCCCTTTTGAGTTGCAGGAGATGAACTTGGATGTTTGATACGAATAGATCAAAAAATGATCTTGACAAAGACTTGATATAGTAATTAAGTTTGTCAGGAATAAATAAGATCTATAATATTTAATTGTATTAACCCCGTCACCCTCCTAGACTCTTTTTTATACATAGATTCTACTCGCAAAAATTATTGTATTAATGCCATTACTTCAAATTTAATTCAGAAACTAGAATTTGTTCAATCCAATGATCTCAATTTAATAAAATTATGAACATTTTGAATACCAAAGTTATAAATTGATGATTGTTAATGATATTAAATTCAAGATAAGAGTGGTGAGGCCTCGAATTGTATTAATTGAATTATACAATGTCATCGATATTAAGTTTCACGTGATTGACCCAATGTCTTTGCAATTCATCGCCTTGCAAGCATCATGTTATTATGAGTATGTGACGGGTTTTTCTAATATGTGATTCTATTAGTTTATGCTAAAGCTAGAAAAAAAACACCTAAAATTGCGTACATAAGGCTGCTTGTTTTCCTATTCGATTAAATTACTAATACTCATGATATCTTTTTTATGTGGTAAAATCCAAGTGTCTTCTGCTTTATCCTCATTAGAATCCTGAATGTTATTTTTTGCTACGCCTATATCTTTTGTTGAATCAACACCATCAAAAGAGCCTACGTCGCGAGAATAGCTTGAAGAATATGGTGCATTTGCTGAATATATGTCAGTATGGCCATGTGATAATGTCGTGGCAGGAACTGTGCTTGGAGAGGATTTGTATGGTATATTAACTGGAAATGGTGCTGAAACATTGTTCGGCATAGGTCTATAGCCAGTCGTGTACATGTTGGAACCACCAGCAAATCTATAATTTATTGTGGTCGCGGGTTGTATGTTTGCTGAAGGTAGAATGTAATTAGATGTATGTATATATGATAATAATTGTGAATTCGGTGCTGGAGTGGTGCCGACCGCCGAAGGAGTTGGTAAAATTTGACCCATATCTAATTAAGAGTGACAATAGTACATATTTGTAAAATATTTTTAATTTATCTGACAAAGCCTTTTTCAATAATTTACCTTTTCTTCTTCTCTTTGTTGCTCTTTCAGTACCATCTTTTTTCGTTGATTTTTTTGTTGGTTTCATGGTATTTCCGGTATCTTTACCTTCACATTCAATGCCATTATTATTAGATTTTTTCGTATTCTTAACAGGCCTCTTTCGTTCTTTAACTGGTAAAGCCAAAATTTCTTGAGTTTCTTGTTTTTGCCTAGGACGCTTAACACTAGTCAGATCAATATTCATTTCCTGTACTGTTTGATCTGATCGTAGAATATTCTCAAATGGTTGAATTGGGGGAATTATAACATCATTGGAATCAATTTTAACAACATCAATAGTCTCATCATGTTCATTATTACTAGCAGGCGTGCTCGATTGTATTGCCTGACGTTGTAAACACCTCGCGCAAACATATTCAATTTGTGAAAAATCCCTCGTTTTACGAAATCGTTCGTCAGTCTTTAAAAGGCAGTCGAGATGCTGCCATACTGCGCATCGGTCACATGCAATCATATTACTACCATCATTCTGTAAAACAAGCAACAATTAAAAAATCTTATCGTTTATGGTAATTGTTATAAATATTCAAATACCTACAATGTTTGTGCCAGAAATGCCACATAAGCAATCGAAATACCAATCTTCTGGATTTTGATTTTTAACCTGAAATGTTGTGTCTGGTGGCGTTAAATGATCTTGTATATCACTAACTCGTTTAATTTTTATGACATGCTGTCGCTCAATTGTTGTTTCTTGTTCTTTTTTTAATTTATCATCCCTAGCTAGCAACCGTTGCTCTCTTTCTTTTGAACGGCGTTCACGTGCTTGACTTCTTGCTTCCCTATCCTGTTCATAGGATATATGTAAATACATTGATAATGAATAAATGAATGAATGAATATAGGACATAATTTGAATTTATGCATTCGTCTTTGAATAATAAATACCCTCTCAGCTTTAAGCCTTGCAAGTTCTTCTTGCTTAGTCTTTTCCTCTCGTTCATCCTGATCTTTTTTAAGTTGAGCAGCACGATCAGCTTCTTGTTTTTCGAATTCTCGTTTTTGAATTCTTGAACTACGCTTCCTGTTAGCCAAGGCATCAAGTTTTTTTCGTTCTTTCTCTTTCTCCTACATCAATTAAGACTTCGTTAATTTCAATGGCTAAAGATCAAATAAGCACGCATGAAATTAATATTTATTACTTACATGCAAGGCAGCCAAAATCTGTGGTAAAAGGTCTTCAGTCAATAGCTTATAAAACGCTTTTTCTTGCACATTTCTTGATTTTTCGAATCGCTTTGGAAATTCTTCCCATTCAGCAATTGTGACGCAAACCTATTATTTAAAAATGGTTATAACATTATAATGTGACATATTAAATATATAAGATCAAAATAATGAATGCTTACGGTCTCCCAGTTCGTGGTTTCAGCAATAGTTTCATTCACTTCAGAAGGAACATGTTTCGCGCGACTACGTCGAGTATTCTTAACTTTACTTTTTTGTTTTTTGGACACATCCTTTTTTGGTGATTCTTTGCAAAGCCGATTATCTACAACAATAAAATAAGTTTGTATGCGTTCATAAACACGTAAGATCTTGATAAGAAACCAAAACTTACCATCAAAAAGCCAGTATGTATTGCCCTTGGAGTCATATCCAACCGGAGTGACTCGCTATTGTAGAAAAATTCATTATAATTAAAACATTGTAAATAAAATTCAAGAGGATTTGTATTAATAATATTTGATTTTTAATACCCATTCTTGTGGATTGTCCTGGTTTGACAAGAAGTTTCTAAATCTATCAGGATTCCGCATCTGCCAATGGCAAAGATCATGTAAAATCAAGACCTTTGCAAACAAATGTTAAATAATGTTAGCATTAGTGAGAAATAACATAAGTCATATGAAGTCATAACATACCTTCTGTTTTACAGACATATCTTCAAATTTTATGGAACATGTTTCATCACCGAATGGGTTCTTTTCGGGCGCATGTTTCTGATATTGTTGAAGGAGATGTTGTTCCCAGTTGTCCAGACTAGTTAGCATTATTCAGCAAAAAGTAAAATAAAACAAAAAGAAAAATTTAAAAGATGAATAACAATAAAGGTTTAAATCAATTGAGTAGATATTTACGATATATTTTTATTGAATGACAGAGTCCGTAGCATCTTTATGATTAAGTCCCCAATCTGGATATTATCATCGGTGGCTAAACTCCGCTCCAACTCCTAAAAGATAATACCATAATATTAATTACTAATTCACAATGATCAATAACAAGAAGGAATTTTAAAATGAAGCTTACGTCAGTGTCAAATGAATCCAATCCAAATGCATCATAATATGTATGCATGAATTGGGATACATTTGCAAACTCCCATAAACTGCGTATGTGGAGTATTGCTTGTTGATAGTCCGGGTCGTGGTCGGAATATGTGGTTGACGACATTGGGACTAGAATTTTAAAATCTGATGAGAAAAGACGACGCGTAAACCTTGAATCGTTCTTCGTTTTAAACAATATTTTTGACATACCTATATATAGTGTGACTTGTCAGTGAATGATAAAAGTTGGTGATTCTAAAAGAATAAAATAAATAAATTTTAGTCCAGAATTATTATGTGTACTTGAAAAAAAGTGTGCAAGATACTACTATAGTCGGAAAGAAATCTATATAAGTGTGTGTATAAAACACATAGTTTTCTATAATATCACTGAAAGAAAACTTTCGCCATTTATGACAAAAAAAAATCGAATTTTTGTAACTTTTAATGGTATTTTTATAAGCAAAGAAATGGTGCACAGCAATTAAAGTCATTAATGTATCATGAAAAATAAGTTGGTAATCTGACAAGTATTCAAGTAAGGATTTCGGTATACTGAATGCCCCCATTAGACCTTAATTACTTTACTAAGAGATATTCGCAAAAAAACAGAATTTTGAGCAGGAAGTGTTTTTTTAGCTTTTTAAATAAAACACGGAGAAAGAAAGTATGATTTTTTTTTCATTTTAATTAAAGGGCTCTTGAACTAAAAATTTATACTGTATATGGTAAAAAAATAAAAGTGCACTATTTCAGCATTTATGTTGATTGATTACCTTACTAACACGGTAAATCTATAGGTGACTTCGAGATAGTTGGCGAAGTCGTTAATTATTAAAAGGATGTTGACTTGTTTGTAATGTAATGACGTATTTATATAAATGAACTTTATTGGACGTCGATCTTGTACAAATCCGTTGCTTTAAAGGAATCTCAATCAAAAATCGGTGTTACATTGCAATCACTGATCAGCGTGTTGATTTATCTTAAGAAAAATTATAAAAAGGCACGGTTTAGTTACCAGTTTTAATTTAACTTTGTGCATCTTAAACAAATGGCTGGGATTTTAGAAAAACCTAACAGAGTCATAGAGAATCAAAAGTATTTCCAAGTACGTTAATTTGTGATTAAAACGAAAGAATGCATTAATACTACGTTAAATATTTAATGTAAACTTGTAGGCTCACGTTAATCAACCTCTTTGGCTTCGTGGAAGTCCTGCTAGAAGAGTTTTTGTATCCCTGTACTTTGGTATGGTTGGAGTTGGTTTGTTAGGCTCTACGTATATGATGTTTGCCAAATTGATTCCGGTATCTTATTATAATTTTTATTTGTAGATTAGCAAATTGATATTATATGAAATTCTCATTAAAATGTTTTTTTTTAGGGCAAAAAATAATAGTGGAGTCTTTTTTTAGAATGAATACTTGATGCAAAACAGGCTAAAGATAAATGTATTCAATGTATTAGACCATTTAAGTCAAAATAAATTCAACATTCTATAATCAGATCTATTTGAAATAGCTTATTCTCCTCGTTTAAAACTCATACTATTATGTATTCAAAAGAAATATTAGTGGTATTAGTGTTTTGATCCTATTTTTGACAGGCCATCCAGATTGAATCCGCATTAGATTATAGGTAAAGCTAGCTTTTGAGCATATCCTTAGTAAAAGTCTCTGATCTGGATATCTGGATTGAAGGATCAATCCAGATTGTCGGATTTAGGACTGATGCACTAAGTAATATCCAGGTATCAATTAATATTCATAATTATGCTAAATGTAAATTTGTTGGATTTAGAAATTTTTGAAGCTGAATTTTATGTAAAGTTTGAGGATTATAAGTCTTAAGTCATGATATTATTTTCTTCCACAAAAATTCATTCAAAAATTTTTAAATTTTTAATGTCTTTAGGGAAGCACCGTTTAATGCGTAATTTAAGAGGGAAGGGGTTAGCAGTCTATCACATCTATACGTTATATATAAACATTATTATTGGCTGATAATTCGATCACCTAGGAAAGAGAGGATCTATCCTTCTAATAAATAGAGATTACGTAATAAACGGCATTTCCCTTATATGCATTGTTTATAGGCTTCTTTAGCAGTAAATTTCTAAATGAATAATTGTATTATACTATACTAAATGCAAGAACAGGTCACTTTTTGTTATGTCAGGCTGAAAAAGAAAATATATTACCGTAAATCACCGTATACAAGACCCTAGTCTATTACATTTCACCAATTTTAAAACCTGATAATTGAATTTATTCTATTTTTATTAGGTTTTTCCTATTTGAATACTCTGGTCTTTTACATTTACCAAACTTTAACCTATCTTATAAACCCGTATGATACATGGCGGATCTACTATTCCAGGTGGTCTTGTATTCGGTGATTTATTATACTATACATGTTTTATTATATTATCTAAGTTGAGATTAATATTGTAATTTAAAGTTTTTATTATTCGGAACATAACAGAGAACCTTATAGAAAACAATAAACCAGATTTGGTGTATAATTATCTGTTATATGATTATTAATTTATCTAATTCGATTTATTTATTTTTTTTATTATACAGTATATTTTTAAAAGATTATTTATACTCTTTACTGTATTGATTTATTATTTTGTATTTGTATATATTACTGCATAGTATATTTTATAATAGTATTGGTTAATTATATAAATTTTTTAATATTTTTTTTTTGTTTTTGGCGATTCCGCCTTCATTTATTAAGGTTTCTATAATACTAATTATATTTTGTATCTAATACTGTAATATCTATATATTACCTAAACAAATAAAGATTCACTCGATACTTTGTACCCAGATGTAATCTGCTATTATGATTGTCTTCCTGAGATTTTGATAGACTATTGTATGGACTGCTTTAATTCTTGGATTTTGACTATATTCAAGAGGACAGTCTGGTTTAATATTTGATGTTAGCTAGTTTTTGATATTTTTGGCTATTCATGTTTTTGCTTTCTCTAAACATCGGGAAATTTTTCTTAGTGCAGTTCTGCGCAGCTTTGCAAAAAATTAAATAATAACTCAAATGAAAATCTGTGCAAACTTCAAAATAATAACTAAAAACTTCAAATTCTAGAAAATTTTACAGTTTTTTTGCAAAAAATCTGCGAAAATACAGATTTTTGCAGATTTACACTTATTTAATTTCCCCGATAAAGCTTCTACTTTTTAAATCAGGAAAAATTTCAAACCTGGCCAATTACCCTTCTCAATGGATATGCAGTCACGAGGATCCCACCCAATCTGTCCTATTTGACCTCACTACACAGAAAAACAATATCATAAACATTAACGCCAAATGCTCCAAATCTACACGTAGTAGTGACCTTGCAACAATAACTAACTTATACGAAAGTAACATGAGACCCTATACAAAAGCCAAACTAAATGCCGATCTACCCATGATTCCATTACAGAGCTAAACTCAGACAATGAGTCAAACAGGAGCAATAATGAGCAGGCTTACACAGAAATTTTCACAAAGCTTAACTTCTCACAAAATCTGATTACAGAACACACAAATACTAGCACAAGTACTGATAATACTAACACTATACTACCTACCAACAAACTCCTGAACCCTGACTCCGGTAACAGCTCAGACACTACTAACAACAAGGCTACACTACCTAGACCTGGTACCCTACTAGCCAAATTACACAACCTTTACTTACCGTACCCACCTTTAGCCATGTCTCTGCAGACACTACACCTAACTCCAATTCTAGTCGCAAAAGGCACAGAAATATTTCTAACATATCTCTACCTGCCGCAGCTTCTAACAAAGCCACCAAAACTACTACTGGCAGTACTTCTACTTCAAATAGAATACAAGCAAGCCAAAAGACAAATACCAGACCTACCTATAGCCAGATTACTAAAACCAACCTCAAACTCCTCACCACTGATGCTCCAGAAGATGATATGGAGTGGGCGACAGAGATTTACCTCAAGACTACTACACCTATTAATACCTCCTTTGATACAAATCTCTGGTCCTTTGACAAAATTTCCAAGGCTCTCGAGACCCCCGTAGGCATATATAAGTTTGTCAGCTACTAATTAATTACAAACCACACACAATACAAACTACCAGAAGCAATTGCTCTTAAGTTTATACACCAAGATACCAGATTCTTTACCACCTTCACACGCAATCCAAAAACTACTCCAGCATACCAAAAAGAATATATGAATCTTTTCAACACAGCTTTAACAGTATACAAGAAAGAAACGAGATTACACTTACCAACATCTCCACCCGCAACACTATCCACTCTATGCTTAGAAAAATGCTTATCTCACAGCACCTCACCAATATTAATTTTTCCAAAACTACATACAGACAGATCTACAAGGCTATTCAGTATGCCAGAGAATTTCTACAAATCAAAAACACTAGTAAGGATACACCAAAGGAAATCTGAGCACAAATAAACAGAGCTTTTGAAAACAAACTTATCCCACTTCCCGATACACCAGAGCAAATCCCAAAGGAATTCTTAGAAATTTTGCCATTCAAACTTCCTATTACACAGCGTTCACACACTAGAGCTATAGTAAACATCTTAAGGAAAATCTTCAAATTCCCAGAACTTCCTGATGCATACTTTGCAAAACTTCCACCACTCCCCCTACTATAATGAGCTTACAGCTAGCCTCTGCCAACTATTTCCTATTTCACACTGATCTTTCCTTCAACATCTTGCTATATACAAGAGAAAGCTTGCAGACTTCTACACAGTTACCAAAATCCCAGATTCGTACTTCGACCTTCCACCTCCCAAAAAACCACTACTCACTACCTACCAAGAGCTTAATTACAAAGTCTGCAAATTCTTTCTATTCAACTAAGCTACTTCTAATGTTCTACTTACTGAAGTCATCTCCCAGCTTAGAGAATATTACATCTTCAAACTGCTTCCTAATAACTTCTTCGTCACCAAACCACCTCTCCCAACAGATATAAGCAAGATCAAAACTACCTCCCCATTCAACTTCTCTATCACAGATGATGCTGCGGCCAGAGAATTTATCAAACAAGTTTCTCCCTACTACCGAGTCCCATTCCCGATCCCAACAGAAATAATGCAAGCCAACCCAACCAATAAATCTACTTTGCCAAGAGCAGAGGAAATAAAAGAATACCACAATATCTCATTTCCAATTACAACTATACAACAACTTACAGCCACAGCTAAACTCCTTCGCAAACATTATTACTTCACCCGGCTTCCTTCTGAATGGATCCAAATTGAAAGCAGTCCCTCAACCACATCTGATAATACCAATCCACCTACTATGCAAAATCTCCCTAACATCTTTTACAACATAGAAGAAATCATTGACACTCTATCCAAACAGGAAATTATAGTTTCACTCCTGATCCAAAACCAACCAGACATCACCCCAACAATGAAAGTTTTAAAACAATTCTACACAATCAAGAAAATCCCCGAGGCACTACTAGATCTTCCTCCACTCCCTGCCCCAGCTGAAGCATATTTAAAAGTGCACCCCTACCCTCATGTCCAAATACTCCTAGTACGGTCCTATCCCTGGCCAGCATTACTCCTACCCCAGAAAATGCTCTAGTCGCCTCAACACTTACAGAAGAACCTAATACTATAGCAACAACGGCTATAGAAATCACATTATCCACAAATACAAACACTCCTCCATTGGACAACTCAACGCCAATGGATACAAATGAGCATTCTCATGAGTAGCTTACAAGATATACATGCCCTCAATACTCCACAACCCAATATACATGACACACAAAACTTCAATCTCTCCCATCCTAAAC